GAGGAGGAGGACGAGGAAGAAAAAGGAAGACGTAGAGAAAGAGAGAAGCGTGTAGATAGATAGATAGATAGATAGGGAAAGAGAGAAGGAAAGAGAGGGGGGAGGGCGCCGAATTAGCTCCAACCTGTTTCAGGCATAACAGGCACCATCGTCGTTGTTGTCTTCATATTTATTGGGATACCGTCTCTCGTGGAGCCCTGTTTCCAGATTTTTTTCTCTTTCCCTCTCGCTGCTCTCGGGGGGCGGGGGGGGGGAGGGGAAGAGAGAAAGAAAGAGTTCTCTCTCCCTCTCCGATCATCCTACATGCGATCACGATGCGTTCCTTCTAAGCCTGGCTGCTGCTTCGTAGAAACGCCGCGCCGCGTAGGCCACCCCTCCCCTCTCCCTTTCTTCGTACGAAAGACGCCACGAAACTCGAGAGAAAAAAAAAAAAGAAGCAACATCAGCAATCCTCCGAGCAGTCTCGCGATCATTTCCTCCAACAGTTTGTTACTTTCCTAAACGACTCGTAGTTTGTCCGGCAAAAAGCAAAATCACTGAGAACGAACGACGGCATTCTACGTATCACGCGCGTCGACGCAGTGATAAAATTAGAAGTTGAACTCTAGAAATAACAGCGAGTGACTCTCCCGCAACGTCGGATCGTTTCGCGACGTAAATTGGAACGCGCCGGGATGAACCTGAATCCATCGATCAGTCTTTTTCGCCCCCCCCCCACCCTTCCCTCCGATTTCGTTCCGTTTCATTTTGCAACGAACGATCATTGATTTCCTAACGTAAGAGGGGACAGCGTGGCTTTTACGACCCTCGACCTCGATCGTAACTCGATAACGATCATCGTCGCCCTCGTCGACGAAATTCCACGGAACGATCTCTTCGTTGACCCGAGCTACGCATACTAAACACGACGCTTTCTCGTCATCGCGTCAATCTAAGCTATCGATTTAAAGGAAATATTTGCTTTGCGTACACACAGCCACAAAAAAGTGGTTTTCTTCACCTTCGCTTGTCGATGATTTTACAACGCTGTCCCCTTCACGTTTTCAATCGCGTTTCGATCGTTCCAGGATCGCTTCCCCCTCCACACGCGACCAATCGTCCGGACGTAAGAAACAATCATCGAAAAGCGACACCCAACGATCTTCCCCGCTCGCAGTGGGAAACAATCGTCGTTATTCAGACGTCGCAATTCCGTCTCGGGCTGTTGCGCGCGCGACCTTTCTCTCTCCGCCGAGAATCTAATTCTGTTCTGTAATCGTGATACGGATGGATCCCTAATAATACGTGGGATAACGATTCTCGAGGAATTCGAAACGTCGTTCGCCGAGCTGTGCTGAATTTGATTGAACGAATCGTCGTCGTACCCTATACTACATTCTCTACGTCCAAACACCTCGCGACTCGTCCTTTCTCTTACGTCGCACGCAGTCCGAGAGTGTACGCTAGCGAGATGACATCGATTCCTTCG